AAAACATTTGATTTCCTCATTGATTGTTCACCATAAGCCTATTGTACTAGAGCTAAAGTTTCAATCAGGGGCGGACTGACAACTCAAGGGAGCGGGCAATAGGGGATCATGGAGCCCCTGTGTCCTTGCCCAAACTCAAAAAAGCCTATGAAAAAGGTACCGGGGCATCTCATGGAGCCTTCTACTGACCCTGGGCCCTTGGGCAGTGCCCGAGTTTCCAAATGGTCAGTCCGCCTCTGGTTTCAATCACACTTTTGCAAGTCAGGTAAGGCTTAATTTAGTAACAAGTTTTAAGCAAGTTCCTGTTGCTTGCTCCTTCCTACTGAAGAAGAAGGTACTACCTTCGAAACTCATGTGGGTAAAGGAGAACAGAGCCCTGTAGTGGTGTCTAAATCAATTACCCCTGGTTGCTGCAATAGGCAGCTGGCCTCCAGTGGACTGACCTAGAGGGAATACCTGTTCTGATATGCCTATAGTACAGATCTGTTTGTGAGTACAATGATGTTCTTATATAATAAACAATATTTGTAATACTATTCAAGGAAAAGCACTTGTGTCTGTTTGCATTATTAGCACTACCACAATTTGTGGAGAAGAAGGGTTAAATGCTCTTCATCACAGGAGAACACTGGAAAGAAGGAGTGTGGTGTATGTAGAGATCCACTGCTGACATGGAGGCTTGGAGGAAGGAAGGAATGGAAAGACTCTGTCTGTTCTGTATATCATCATTGTGTTGAGTAGGGAGCCATCTATTGGGCATTCACTGCAATTGTACCTTTATGAATAAAGAACAGGAAGTGTCTCATGTTTGTTAAAAAATAAACATTTCTATAAACCACTGTCGCCATGTCAACCACTGTCAACCACTGTCAGCTTCTAGAAGAACACCAGTGAAGGTATTCTCCATTCTCCGTTTGACACATATATGCCTGTAAGTTCATCAATTGTGTTTGTTAAAGTCACATACATAGCTAGATCGCATTTCAATATATTTAATGTGATTTGTAGGTAGCTGTTTGTAAGAAATGTGTTCATTGTATGCATTTGTAAAGAGACATATTGTAACATTGAAGCATTTTGTAACATCAGTTTATGTGATTTTATTGCTGTGTTACAGAACTTTTCACAGAAGTAAATTAAGTTTTTTAATGAAACACAACACTGCTTCTGTCAGTTTTGTTAGCTAGCTGTCGGCTAACCATCAGCAGGACAGCACATTGACTGTGAGTAAAGCAGCAGTAGACTGAGCTTCTCTGGGTATGTGAATTGATAGAGAATTTGAGGTTGACATAGGCCGGCCATACAGGGAGAAAGTCTCCAGATTGCTGGGTGAAGAGGAGTTCATCTAGGGTCTGGGGCAGTAAAACTGGAGCTGCTGGCTAGCACTTCAACAGAGACTGTGACAGAGCAGGAAGCTGTGAATAGCTCAGGATGTTGTCCTCAGATTTCAATTCCCTTGGCCATCCTATACACCCTTTATCCTATTCAAGTTCTAATCCCCTCAATAAAATAACAAAACCAATGCTCAAGGCTTGATTTCTGTCTACGGATGAAAGCATGTGTGGAGCATGCTAATGACTGGTTGTGCAGTACTATAGGGGACCCAAATTCATCAGCAATCCCTAAGGGGGTAGTGCTACATGGAGTTTGCAAGGAGTTGCAGCATTTCAACTCCTTCCATTCAAGTCTATGGTAATGTGCCATAAATGCGCTGGCACGCTTTTACAGCGTGTTAGACCTTGTTCATAACAGCACAAAAAAGTAGGTGTCTGGGTGCATTTTTAGCGCATGTCAAATGCGACGAACAACATGCATTAACTCTATCGTTAAAGTTCTGTCAATGTGTGGTATCATATGTTCTAAATGTATCATATGTTTTATACTGAGGATTTTTATTATATGTTTTTAGTATACGTAGTTTATGTTGATGTTAATAATTGTCAGATTGTGTTACTGGTCAACTGAGGGTTTGTACAGTTTGAGATGTGAAATGATTAAACCTTGAGGTTTCACTGAGGGAAAGAGAGCGCTGATTGTAGTAATATTGAGAGATTTAATCCACGCGGGGTGAGGTCTGTTATTAGCCGCCCTCTTACTAAGGAAGCATGGTGGTAAGGCATTTTTGTTTGGCACAAAGTAGGCCCTATCTACAGGCCTTCCTTACCATCTTGTTTTTAACTGGTCATGTAATTAAAGCTGACCTCTAGGCACATATACTGTAAAAGGTACAATTTAATCCTCATGCACACTGGACGATTTCATAACGCTGGTAACGTTAGTTGTGTAAAGTCCCGTTAAATTTTTTCAGCTTTTTTTAGCATATTTTCATTAGCACTTAGCTGCATTTTGCCGCATTTAGCGGCATTTTCCTGCGTTTGTGTTTTTTTAGCATTTGTTTTACCAAAAAATATTTTTTTTGCTCAAAAAAAGTCCCAAAACGCCGGCTTGTGGCATTTTACCGCATTTTGCCGCGTTTTTCAGTGTTAGAGCGTTTTTACAGCTAAAAAATTCCTCTAGTAACCCACTAGTCCTGGGTTTTTTTCCAGCCAAGAAAACACCCCTGCCAAAAAACGCTGATTACAAGAAGCATGCTGATAGGTAGAGAATGCAGAGAACTGCTTCATGTACACATGAACTCACCTAGTTGTTAAACTCTCCTGGCAGCAGAAAAAAGCTAAATGTGGCAAAAACACGTGTAAACGCAGTACCACGTTTAGCCTAAGGCCTCATGCACACAGCTGCTCCTAAATTCATGTTTAGGAGTTTTTTATTTTTTTTTGCCAGAGCCCTGGAACGCAACTAAAAAAAAAAAAACCTATGCCATGTACACATAGGTTTTTACCAGAGTTTAGCAGCAGCAGCATTTAGAGGCAGTAAAATGCTCCTCTTCTGAATGCACAAGAATACGTTCAGGATAGGAGTGTTTTTACAGAAAAATGCCAAATACACATGTAAATACAGATAATGCTAGACCCAGAAACAATGATGCACATTCAAACTTCAAACTTCAGTTCAATATGCTACTTGCTCAACCTAAATAGGTGCTCTCAGGAGTAGGTACCTCCACTATCTCTTGCATGACATACTAAGTCTGTTCATAGATGGGATAACCAAGCTTCCCCATAAGGGAAACCCCCAAGTCTCAAAGCACTCACATGCCTCAGGTTATGTCCTTTCAATAGTTAGACCTCTGTTAGATCACAAGCTTAATAATGGCATGCAATGCCAAGCTGCGGTTTCTAAAGCGAGCAAAATCTCCGGTATTAAAAGAGATCTAGACTCCAGAGAGAGAGATATGATATTACCCCTGTACAAATCATTAGTAAGACCTCATCTGGAATATGCAGTTCAGTTTTGGGCACCAATTCACTAAAAGAACATCGGGGAACTGGAGAAAGTACAGAGAAAGGCAACTAAACTGATACGAGGCATGGAGGAGATCAGCTATGAGGAAAGATTAGAGGAACTGAATTTATTCTCTTTTGAGAAGAAGAGATTAAGGGGGGATATGATCAACATGTATAAATACATCAGTGGTTCATATAGTGAACTCGGTGTAGAGCTATTCACCCTGAGGTCATCACAGAGGACAAGGGGGCACTCTTTACATCTGGAGGAAAAGAAATTTAATCTCCAAACATGGAAAGGTTTCTTCACAGTGAGAGCTGTGAAAATGTGGAATAGACTCCCCCAAGAGTTGGTTCTGGCCAGCTCAGTGGATTGCTTTAACAAAGACCTGGATTCCTTCTTAGATACACAGAATATAACTGGATACTAACATTTATAGGTAAAGTTGATCCAGGGAATATCCGATTGCCTCTCGGGGGATCAGGAAGGAATTGTTTCCCCTGCAGGAGCAAATTGGATCATCCTTTGCTGGGTTTCTTTTGCCTTCCTCTGGATCAACTGTGGGTACAGGATTACAACTTTTTTTTTTTTTTTTTTAATGGTTGAACTGGATGGACTTTTGTCTTTTTTCAGCCAGACTAACTATGTAACTATGTAAGAAGGGTTCCCCTTAACTGCGCAACAACAACAGTCTAAACTAACCCCCCCCGTTCTTTACAGTCAAGGAAGCACCCATCTTAGCCTCTGTTTGATTGGCAGTTGCCCTGTTGCTGCACATGGTACCAGATGTCTTGACAGTTCGCTTGACAGCACAAATGCATCTCATTTACAGCATGACTTATAAATGTTTTGGCAATCAGTTAAAGTGTTACTAAACCCCGGACCCTGCATTCACTATATCTGGTCACCCACAGTACACACAACATGGAAATGCAATTATTTTAGTCAGGGAATTTTTCTCTCAGAGAATAGGTGCAGGAACTCCCCCCTTCAGAATCACTTCTTGTATCCTCCCCTCTTCCCACCTCTGTGCACAGTCCCTTGGTTCCAGCCCTACCCACCTCCCAATACCGTTCCTTATAGAGAATACGCAGCCAAGTATCATTTTGTGGTGTTAAGCAAGTTATATAGAATTTGTTGATGATAACAAGAAAAGCAGTAAAATAGATCCCCTGCAGCCATCAGCAATAGACCCTCCAAGCAACAAAATACCACCCCAGCAAAAACAGACCTCCAGCAGCAACAACAGATCTCCCAGCAGCCAGCATCAATACACTCTCCTGCAGCCAGCAACACATAGACCCTTCCTCAACAGTAGATCTCTTCCAGCAACAACACATCCCCCATCAGAAACAATAGACCACCATGCAAAAATAGATCCCCTACAGTGACAATAAATCCCCCAGTAGCCAGCATCAATAGACCTTCCAGCACACCTCAACATCTCCTGCTATTACATACATTCAGTGCTGGAGGTGCCGGAACAGTGTTTCCCTTTGTTCCCCTTGAAAAAAGCCCTGATTTTAGCAAATCTAAACTGCTAAATACCTTTTCTCATTAGCAGTTAGAGCAGTCTTGTGACTTCTATCAGTGTTCAGCAGAGCACTATTTAAAGATTGTAGGAGTTTTCATTGTCCTATAAGGCTGCATAACCCCTGACCCTCTCTCTGGACAGTGCTGATTGGCCCTGTGCTGATCACATGCACTCTCCCAAGGAAAAAAAAAACTCTCTAGCAATACACACCAAACAGAGCATGTGAAGCTTGCCCCCATCTGAATGTATACACACTTATAGTGTTACTAATCCCAGGACCCTGCATTCACTATATCTGGTCTCCCACAGTACACACAACACGGAAATACAATTATTGTAGTAAATATAAACTGCTAAATACCTTTTCTTATCAGCAGTATATAGCAGTCCTGTGACTTCTATCAGTGTCCAGCTGAGCACTGGTTAAAGCTTGTAGGAGTTTTCATTCTACTCTAAGAGTCCTATGAGGCTGTATGACCCCTGACCCTCTGTCTGGACAGCGCTGATTGGCCCTGTGCTGATCACATACATCCCAAGGAAAAAAAACTCTCTAGCAATACACACCAAACAGAGCATGTGCAGCTTGCCCCCAAGGCTCTGTTCTATCAGCAGATGGATTGGGAACAGTAGAAGAAGGGGAGGATCAGAGAAGATGGGATAAAACAGCTTTTTTTTTTACACAATGCAGAGGATAACCCCTTAGGTTCCACAGTGAGTATAACAAGCATGCTTTACTGCATATACAGACTGATTTTACTGTTGTGGGCTTAGTAACACTTAAGTCAATGTATTTAGTTCCATGTTAGCACACCTTGAGTGGCAGGACAGTTGGTCAACAACCACCAGGGCAGAGTTATCCCTAAAAGGGCCCTATGCTGGTGAGAAAAGGAAGGATCTAGTGGCACCTGAGGGAATTACAAAAGATATCTCACTATGTTGTTAACAAAAGGACTCTACAATTGCTTAGGGCTTAAGTTGATGGGCATTCTTTTCAAATGTTGTATTTGCTATTGAAACACAAGTGTATGCATTTAAATGACAAATGCCATGTTTGACAAGAAAACGCTGTGTTTGACCTGCTTTGCCTGCAGTTAAAATGCATTTTAATAGGACATGCTGCATCTAGAGAACTGCAGTGCAATGCAAAGCAGGTCAAACACAGCCTCTGAACTGCCATATGTTCTGCTCAATTAAAGTCAATGCCCATTGACCTAAGCAACATGAGGTTGCAGTCAGAAGTACATACGCAGCATTTCATACAATTTCCAAGCACACAGAAATGCACAGATATTTATATCTCACACTGTAGACTATAATCTAGGCAGGCTTCAGGTTGCACGCTATCCCCTTTCTTTAACCACTTGCCTACCGGGCACTTTTACCCCCTTCCTGCCCAGGTCAATTTTCAGCTTTCAGCACTCTTGCACTTTGAATGACAATTGCGCGGTCATGCAACACAGTACCCAAACAAAATTTTTATAATTTTTTTGAGACAGAGCTTTCTTTTGGTGGTATTTAGTCAGCTCTGGGGTTTTTATTTTTTGCTAAACAAACTAAAAAAGACTGACATTTTTGAAAAAAAAAAAGTTTTTACTTTAGTTTCTGTTATAAAATGTTGTAAATAGGTAATTTTTCTCTTTCACTGATGTGCGCTAATGAGGCTGCAGTGATGGGCACTGATAGGCGGCACTGATGGGCACTGATAGGTGGCACTGATGAGGAGACACTGATAGGTGGCACTGATGGGCATTGACAGGCATCACTGATGGGCACTGAAAGGCAGCACTCATATATGGCACTGATAGGTGCACTGACTGGCACTGATATTCGGCAGTGATCGGAACTGTAAGGCGGCACTGATTGGAACTGTTAAGCAGCACTGATGGGCACTGAGAGGCAGCACTGATGGGCACTGATAGGCGGCACTGACTGGCACTGATAGGTGGCACTGATTGGCGGCACTGACTGGCACTGATAGGCAGCACTGACTGGCAATGATAGGCGGCACTGAAAGGCAGTTCCGATGGGCACTGATATGTGGCATTGATGTGCACTGCTGGTACTAATATGTGGCATTGATGTGCATTGATGTGCACTGGTATGTGGCATTGGTGGGCATTTACAGCTGGCATCGATGGATACTGAGAGGTGGCACTGATGGAGCTACACTGATCATCAGTGCCATGATGATCAGTGTAGATGTCCCCTCTGAGGAATACCGATTACCGGCTCTCCTCTCCTCATGAGCTGTCAGCGGGAGTAGAGGACTGCAGATAACCGGCATTTCCTATTTACATGTGATCAGCTGTGATTGGACACAGCTGATCACATGACAGAGCCGACTTCATCGGTTCTTTATGGGTGATTGGTGTCCTAGGCCACCGATCGCCGCACTCCCCCGAGGGTGCACAGTTAGAGTGGGAGGATGTCATTTGACATCCTCCCAGAATGAGAGAACTGCTGCCCTCCCGTCATTACCTTATATGGTGGGTGGGAGGCTGTTTTAAACCTTCAGCTTTTTTTAAAGTGGTTGTAAACCCTTACATAAATCCAGTGAAGTGACTGGCCACAGGGTGATGCACAGAGATTAACAAAAATCCTGCTATATAAGTTGTACCTATTTATCTATAGCAACTTCTCCTATATACATTCAAAATGCAGAATTTATAAAGCTTGTCTGAGAGTTCAGAAAAAGGATGTGGAGAGCTGAAATCCCTGAATTCTGGCACTGCAGAGCTCAGTGAGGAGAGTTCTGAGAGCTGATTGGAAGGAAGAGACACACCCCCCTCTACATAGCTCACAGGATCAGAGCCGAGGGTGTCAACCCTCCCCTGTCACCATTTTTCTCTTGGTGTCAGGTAAATTTGTCAGAAGTGATTCACACAGATAGCAGAGGAAACAAGCAGCAGACATAAATGACACTTAGTGCTCTTAATTTAGACTACACACTATAGAGCATTCATATTTCATGTCTGAGGTGTACAACCACTTAACCATTTGCCGCCCGGCCTATAGCCATTTGGGGGCCGCAAAAATGCATTAGCTTTCCGGGGTGTACGCCATTTGGCATCCTCCCGCACATGCGCAGTTTGTGCGCCTGCAGAGCTGCGCAGCGGCGCGATCTGTCACCGGCCGTGTACCTCGGACACGGCCGATGACAGATCTGAGTACCGACCCCTGTTTCCGGTACCATGTGACCTGCTGTGACCAATCACAGCAGGTCACATGACAGTTGTATACAATGGATGGCTTCATTCATGCCATCCATTGTATACTAGTGTCTAGCTGTGAATGATCACAGCTAATCACATGCACAAAAAAAAAACCTGAATGAATCGATGTCATTCAGGTAAATGCTTGCTTATAGCAAAGTAATTCTTTGCTATAAGCAAATTGTGTAAAAAAAAAAAAAAATACTGATCACTTCCCCAAAGTAGTACAATGTTACTGTGGTAACATTGTACTACTTTGGTCATAGTAAAATATGAAAAAAAATCTTTAAAAAAAAAAAGTAATAAAAAATTAATAATAATAATAAAAAAATATATATATATATATATTTATTTTTTTTCATACTGTCACCAGTCAGTGTCCCTGTTCACCGCCATGCCAGTTATATGATGATGCTGTACTGCACTGGTGACAGTATGTAAAAAAAAAAATTAGTGAAAATAATTTTTTTTAATTTTTTAATTTTCCGAAAAATTATGACATTAAAAATACAACTTCAAAAAACTCGCCATTCCTTTTATGAAGTACGTCGAACTGTCTACTTTACAAAAAGGGGTCATTTGAGGGATATCTGTACTATTCTGACATTCTTGGACCTCAAGAAATTAGATTGGCTGTCAGTACTTCAGGATTGATCAATTTTCAGATCTATACCATAATTTGTGAACTCTATAACTTTCCTACAAACTAAATAATACATCCTAATTTGGATTATTTTCACCAAAGACATGTAGCAGAATACATCTCGGCCTAAATTTATGAAGAACAATTATTTATTTTATAACAGAAACAAAGAAAAACGTGTTTTTTTTTCAAAATTTTTGGTCTTTTTTTGTTAATTTAGCAAAAAATAAAAACCCCGGCGGTGATTAAATACCACCAAAAGAAAGCTCTAGTTGTGCAAAGAAAATGATAAAATTTTAGTTTGGGTACAATGTTGTATGACCGCGTAATTGTCATTCAAACTGTGAGAGCCTGGGCAGGAAGGTGTAAAATTGTCGGTATTGAATTGGTTAAGTATGTTCAACAGCTGATTTAATCACATTCTGAGTATGCCGCTTCTTCATCTTTTAGATCTGCTTATGTTCCAGTTTAAGCTGGTGTCATGACTGCTTGCAGCATCCTATGGAGCTCAAGTTGTATCTCCCTTTCTCAATAGAAACACACAGCCCCTCAGCCTAGGATAGCAAGGCACTCCCCTGCTGCTCCTCCCTCCTCCTCCTCCCCCTCTTCTCTCCAAGCTATTAGACTGGCTAGTGTCTACTTTTAACCTTTTCCTGTAAAGATTGGAAGTTCAGGGAAGCAGTTCTGAGAGAGCTGGAGCCAGCAGCATTGAAAATATTTAGTTTGTGGTTCTCAGATGCAGTGCAGTTTCATTTTAAGTACAGTATGAAAAGCATTGCACATACTTCTAATCATCAGGAACATTTAAACATGCGCTGTTTAATTGGGCAACTATGTGGCAAATGAGGTTTAATGTTGATAAATGTAAGGCTCTGCACTTGGGGGCTAAGAATATGCATGCATCATACATACTAGGGGGGTACAACTGGGGGAATCAATGGTGGAGAAGGATCTGGGAGTTCTGGCAGATCACAAGCTTAATAATGGCATGCAATGCCAAGCTGCGGTTTCTAAAGCGAGCAAAATCCTCTCTTGTATTAAAAGAGATCTAGACTCCAGAGAGAGAGATATCATATTACCCCTATACAAATCATTAGTAAGACCTCATTTGGAATATGCAGTTCAGTTTTGGGCACCAATTCACAAAAAGAACATTGGGGAACTGGAGAAAGTACAGAGAAGGGCAACTAAACTGATAAGAGGCATGGAGGAGATCAGCTATGAGGAAAGATTAGAGGAACTGAATTTATTCTCTCTTGAGAAGAGGAGATTAAGGGGGGGGATATGATCAACATGTATAAATACATCAGTGGTTCATATAGTGAACTCGGTGTAGAGTTATGGTCATCACAGAGGACAAGGGGGAACTCTTTACATCTGGAGGAAAAGAAATTTAATCTCCAAACACGGAAAGGTTTCTTCACAGTGAGAGCTGTGAAAATGTGGAATAGACTCCCTCAAGAGTTGGTTCTGGCCAGCTCAGTGGATTGCTTTAAAAAAGGCCTGGATTATTTCTTGGATACAAAGAATATAATTGGATACTAACATTTATAGGTAAAGTTAATCCAGGGAATATCTGATTGCCTCTTGGGGGATCAGGAAGGATTTTTTTCCCTGCAGGAGAAAATCGGATCATACTTTGCTGGGGTTTTTTTTCCTTCCTCTGGATCAACTGTGGGTATAGGATTATAACTTTTTTTTATGGTTGAACCGGATGGACTTTTTTTCAGCCAGATTGTGTAACTATGTTAAAAAAACAAAAAATAGCACCTGTGTGTGACCACTCCTTTTCCTCATAATGTCATAATTGAGGGGGCCAAAAGCCGGGCCCCAAGAATCAGTGGGGATTTGTTTTTCCCTGTATACACTGCACTGCCAATTAGTATAATATGGAGATGAGGACAGGCACGCCCACATTTTGTTC